ATATATATATATATATATATATATATTATTCAATACGCCCCTCGCATATGACTTTATTTTATTCTAACTAAGTGTTTTTTTTTTTTAATTAGGATGACGGTGAGGTTTGAACTCAAGACATTTGACTCTGATATCATGTTAACAATCATTCACTTCAAAAGTTTAAACATTTAGAGAGGGTGTAACTTAAATATATATATATATCCTTCAACACGCAAAAGTCATATATTTTTACTGATTTAATTGTGAGAGATTCATGTTGTTATAATCAATCTTTTTTGAATTCTCCCAACAAGTGGTATCAGAGCTATTATCAGGCTTCACACTAGCAAACACCGGTAAATGAAATTGCTTCACATATAGAAGATCTTCCATTTTTCCTTTCCAAGTGTGGTAATTTGAACTATTCAAAGTGACCATTCTACTTAAATTAAGTTCCATTATTTAATACGAGAAATTCAGCAATAATAATAACCAGGCTCTAATACCACTTGTTGAGAGAATTCAAAAAATAAAATTAAGTCATAAATAGTGAAAATAAGAATAAGAACGCGTTCGGAGCGTATAAGCGATACCTGTTGAGAATGATTGTGTGACTTAGACAGTGACACCATACATACATGTTTATCATATATGATGTATACCAAAAAAATTTGAAAATAAATAAATAATAATAATAATAATAAAAGATATGAATTGTGAAATGAAAAAGAGCAGCATAAAATGTGTGCGCATATGTCGTTGTGAAAAGGGAAGTTCTTGGGAGGAATATTCGGTCGGAGGGGGTTGCCTTTGGCGGCAGGTAGACATATTCCATAGTTGACGGTGAATGAGTTTGAATTCTCCTACGAAATTGCAAATTAGTCGGCACCTCTCTCTTTTTATCATTTTCTTAGTAGTCTATATCAACTTTTGACTCTTAAACCAACTTTAGCAACTTCTAAGTCGTTATGGAGAGTATACGTTTTCAGAATCAAATTAATGGTGTGAATGACGTTTTGAGAATCAAATTAATAATAATAATACTAATAATTTTTTTTTTTTTTTTTTTCTTAGTATTATTTACTAGTGTAGTTGGTAGAGCACTCAACGCGTCGGATAAGTATGTCCATGTTCCAGTTAGTAAATTATGCTGAATTTTACACAGGGATAGCCACGGATTGTATCGGAAATGATTAAGTATCAATTCTAATTCGATCTGCTTCCACGAATTAGAAAAATCTTAATCTACCATCGATTCATGTCGATTCGTGAGATAACGGATTACGGATCGGATTCGCAGATTAAGTTTTTTTTCTTCTAAATTGTCGTTTATTTTTTAACCATAGCTCAATAAATAAAATTTCAATTTATCAACATTAATTCATATATTTATCAACATTAATTAATAACTAATATATTTTTTAAGTCCATTAAATGATTATAAATTAATAAAATTAACTAATACATTATTTGAATATCTATATATAGAGTAGTGATCTATTACTCCCCATAGAGTAAGAAAATTCTTCCGCACTTTGCTTTTAATACAAAATTACGGTCACTATTTCTAGTTTCTAAATTTAATATTTACTAATACCACTAATTACAATAATAAACGTAAGTACCAAACAAATAAAAATAGAAATCGCTTCACCTATGGAACGTCTCACCACCACTAATGGAAATTTTTGTTTTCTTTGGATATTAGCTGCCTTTCATATCTTTTTTACTTACAAAAAAAATAATAATAATAATAATAATGATGATAGTGAAAACGAATATAATGATAATATAACAATAGCAGTATTAAAGAAATCTCCTCATTATATCAATAAAATTTTGTTATTATAGTAAAACTAGAAAAATTAGTTAGAATTTGTGACAAAGGGTCGCAGAAAAATAGATTGAATTTTTAATTTTTAAATAGCATGCATTTAGGGAGATATACAATAATTTAAATTATAATCTATTATTATTATTATTATTATTATTTATTTTTTTATGGGTGAGGTGTTGTGCAAATTACATGTTACATTAAGTTGATCAAGTAGATAAAAAAATAGAGATTTAATTTTTAATTTTTTATTATTTTTTAGTCAATGTTTCATTGTTTTGTATGTCAATAATACAATTTTTAATTTCTTTTGTTACATTCAAACAGATAATGTCAACTTTAGTACCAAGTTATTGATGCAATTTTTTAACACTTATAAATTTTTTTATAAAAAAAAAAAAAACCAATTAGTACTGAGACTTGATTTCGAGGGATGAAGAGATTTCTATTTTTATTTGTTTACTATTTACCTTTTATTGTTATAATTAATTGTATTGATAAATATTAAATTTGGAAACTAGAAATAAAAAAAGTGGTTTTGTATTAAAAGAAAAATATATAGGTGGGTTTGGAATGTGAAATTTAATGGTTACTATAAAAAAATGAGAAGAATTTTCTTGCTCCATGGAAAGTAAGAGATCACTACTCTCTCTCTATATAAATCTCGCAAATTAAATTAAATTTTAACAATTTAATTCATTATTCGATCCGTAAATTACGAATTCAATTTTTTTTTGAATCCGGCAGTAAGTATATCAAATCAAATGATTATTCCAGCCCTTAATTTTAGCACCCTAATTGCTACACCAAGTCTTACCTAACTCCTTCCATGGTTCCCATGTGATGAACAATTTTGTTGCATGTTAAGAGACCTAGCAATTTGCTCAACCAACTATCATTATAACTAAAAAGTCTACTTTTAATATGAATTATGATAAAGGGCAATGATTTTTTTACCACTTATTGTCAAAGTGTGCGATGGTGGGCCATCAAAACTTTATTATAGACGTTTAATTATCTACACCTTATCATCATCTTATTATTATTATTATTATTATTATTATTATTATTATTATTATTATTATTATTACACGTTGAACAATTGTACATCACATTCCAATTATAGTGTACAAAAATTTAAGAGAGACCATATTTAAAAACTAACTCTTTCCTATTATTATATCTGGTCAGTCAGATGTGTTATAGAATCTTCTAGAAATGATTTCGTTGCTTTTTTTGTGCATTCACCATTTATTATCATGCGTGTAATATATGGACGAGTATGTATATTATACAAACGATCCGAATACATCTATTGCATGATATAACGTGCGCATAATATATATATATATATATATCACAGCCTTTCTCATGACCAGCTATTGTTATTTAATGAAGAATAATTGGATGTGTGACGTAGCTATTGTTATTTAATGAAGAATAATTGGACGTGTGACGTAATTATATATTTTTTAATTGCTGTAAAGAAATTTTAAAACCTGAAAGTTTGATTGGAGAAGGATTATGGTCTCTTGTATCCCCTCTCATTTTAAAATAAAAAATAGACTCTTAAAATATTGTGAAAAATCTTTAACACAATAAATAAATAATTACACGAGTCTTGACCATCTAACATGAAATGGTCCTGAGGATGCGGCAAGTGGCATGGGCCGGATATGGATCGCGGGAACGAGATCGGGTCGAATGATTGAAGTAGGATCCATGCCAAAGCACCCTGGAATGGGCCGAACCTGGGGGGTCCACCGACGAAGGTCAAGCCCATTGCAAGACCCAGCCCAGAAGGAAGAGAGCTTTTGGATATAAGCCCAATGTAATTGGTTAACTGCAATAAAGGTCATGGCCTATAAATAGACCATGACAGGAGGAGAGAGGGGGAAGAAATGAAATCTTGTATCTTCAATTGGCACCGTCTGTGGGAAGCAAGGACGAAGATCAATTCGAGCCCGATCAGTACCATATTAGTTCAATCGAGTTTGTGAATACGCAGTGTGATTTCTGGAAGTTGAATCCAGATCAGTGAGATTGTAGTCTGTTCTGAGAGAATTCTTGCTTATTGTGGATTCTGAGGCATTTGCTTTGGAATGACACAATTGTGATTTGCTCAGTTGCAGTCAGATCCGACGAGTTTGAAGCTAGAAAAGTTCAGATTGAGCAAACAGCGATCACGATTCGGTGAAGTTAAGCCCAGATCTAGCGGAGTTTGCATCGGTAACGCTTGGATCTGTTTCAAAGTTCGTAATTCATGCCTTTGCTTCGATCCGGAATCATGATAGGGGGTGACAACTCTAATACGGTTGAGAACGTCCAGCAAGTGAAACTTGATGAGTTGATGAACATGATCGAAGCTCTCCGGAGAGAAAATGCGGATCTAAGGAATGAAATGCAGCGTCAGGAAGCTCCAGTAATTCCACGACCACTCCCGGTAGGAGAAGAAGGTGCACGTACCGATGCAACACATCATGGTGAGGAGGTTGGAAACAATCTAGTAGATCCTCATCGCGAGGAAATCCGGCGAGACGGTTTGCCGCCAAATCCTCATCGTATGGATGATCGTGAAGGATCGACTCACGTGGATCCACGGCGTGAGCAGATCAGGCGAAACGAAACAATGACTTTTGATCCACATCAAGAAACGCTCAGCCGAGGTGAAGCAACAGAGTTGATTCGTCAGAAAGCTATGCCTCCATGGCGCAAGGACTTCATTGAGGATAGATCATTCGATCCGACCTATCGGCCTTCCATGATGACGTTCGACTATCACAGCTCAGAAAGGAGATCAGTAGACCAGAGAGCAGCCGAGGGGTTCCAGAGGGAAAATGAAGCACTCCGTTCAGCAGCTCGGACGGTGGATTCACCGTTCACCGATGAGATTCTGAATGCTCCGAGTCCGAGGAAATTTTCCATGCCCGTTTTCATTCTATTCGACGGAACGACTGATCCGATCGATCATGTGTATCACATCCAGCTGAAAATGGCTCTAAACACTGAGAATGATTATTTGATGTGCAAGTGTTTTCCTACGAGTCTGGCCGGACCAGCTCTGAATTGGTTCAAGAACCTGCCGAGGGGTTCGGTGGATAGTTTCCGAAGCCTGTGCGATCGGTTCATAAGCCAATACTATGGAAACAAGCGTCCAGCGAAAGATATTTCGAGCTTATTCACAATGAAGCAACACGCTGAAGAGCGTCTCCAGGCTTTCCTAACCAGGTTTAACCTTACCAAAAGCATGGTTATTGAATGTCACCCTTCAACGGCAGTTCAGGCATTCATACTGGCCATGAATCGTGGCACCCCGTTCCACACAAGCTTGGTGGTCAACACGTCGAGGACTATGGATGAACTTAACGAAAGAGTCGATGGATTTGTGCGCTTGGAAGAAGAAGAGGCAGCAAACGCTCGGAAGACATCCGTTATTTCCACGGAAGAAAAGACCAAAGCAAAGATCAGGCAAAAACAGGTCCAACCGCAACGCTCCTCATGGAAATCCGAGAAGAGGCCCAGAGAGGAAGAGCTGATTACTCCGTTGAAAGTTACCCTAGCAAGACTGTACCAAGAAAATAAAGATAAGTTCCGACCTCCTTTACTAATCAGATAACCTCTCGAATAGAGGGATCAGTCTAAACACTGTGCATTTCATTCTGATTTTGGCCACCAGACTAACGAATGCAGGAACCTAAGGAGACAGGTAGAGACGCTGATAGCCAGAGGGGAGTTCGCAAGTTATTTTGAAGGACCAGCGGTGGAGCAGAACCGGCCAATAGAGCATGTGAAGAAGAATCAAAAGTCGAATTCTCACAACACGCAACCAGTTCGGGTAATTAATGCAATTCACGGTCGGCCAGAACCTGCTGAGGAATCAGATGAACTGTTTCGAACACGCCTTCGTCAGGCACGGATGAAGAGAAGGATAGGCAGTGTAAACACTCTGCACCAGCAGAACGCATCAACGCATATAAAGTTTGACGCAACAGACTTGCTGCGTGTTCAGACCCCTCATGAGGACCCTCTGGTCGTAAGTTTGACAGTGGCCAAATGCTTGGTGCGCAGAGTTCTAATTGACCCTGGAAGTAGTGCGAACATCATGCCAAGAGATACATTCGATCGGCTCGAGATCAAACAGGAACAGCTGAAATCCACCGGGAATCCACTATTAGGGTTTGATGGAAAACGAGTGGAGCCCGTCGGCACGGTGGAGGTAGCGGTACATGCTGCCGAGAGGTTTTTGATGGAAACCTTTGTAGTTGTTGAAATTCATCCCTCTTATAATCTTCTGATGGGCAGAGGGTGGATCCACAGAGTTCGAGGTGTTCCTTCCACTCTGCATCAAGTAATGAGATGCCTGGCACCGGACGGAACCAAAATGATTGACATTCATGGAGACCAAGTTGCAGCAAAAGAATGTTATTCTGTAACGATAAAACATGCCAGAAAGGGGAAAGCTCCCATTCGTTCAGTAAGTCCAAGATAGCAATTACAGGAACCTCCCTCCAAGCAGAATGGAGAGGAGGAACCAGTAGGCTTGACTGAAGAACCCCTGCTTGATGTGCAGATCGATCAGTTTCGACCAGAACGAACAACCAAAGTAGGGGAGAGACTCGTTGAGGAGGAAAAGCAGGAATTAGTTGATTTTTTGTCTCAAAATGCAGATGTGTTCGCAGGAGTCACCTAGACATGCCCGGGATCGATCCTTCGGTATCCTGTCATTCCTTGAATGTTAACCCCAATGCAAAACCTGTAAAGCAGAAGCAGCAACGGTTTACCCCCGAACGCAATCGAATTATTGCCGAGGAAGTTGATAAGTTGTTTGATGCGGGGTTCGTAAGAGAAGTGTACTACCCCGACTGGCTATCGAATGTGGTCGTTGTGCAAAAGAAAAATGGGAAATGGCGCGTATGCATTGATTTTACCAATTTAAACAAAGCTTGTCCGAATGATAGCTTCCCGCTGCCAAAGATTGATCAGATGGTGGATGCAACTACTGGATATGAACGCTTGACCTTTTTAGATGCTTATTCGGGTTATAATTAGATCTCCATGGACCCCGCTAATGAAGAAAAAACTTTTTTCGTTACTGAACGCGGGACGTATTGCTACAAAGTTATGCCGTTCGGACTAAAGAACGTCGGGGCAATTTACCAAAGACTTATTTGCAAGATTTTTAAGGAACAAATAGGGAAGACAGTGGAGGCTTACATTGATGATATGGTGGTCAAAAGTAAGAAAAAAGCTGATCATGTGCAGCATCTTCGAGGCGTGTTTGATGTTTTGCGGCGATATGGAATGAAGCTCAATCCGACCAAGTGCTCGTTCGGTGTAAGTTCAGGCCAATTCCTAGGGCATGTGGTTAACCTCAGAGGCATCGAGGCAAGCCCTGCCCAAGCAGATGCTCTGACTAAGAATGCCGAGCCAATGACAATCAAAGAAGTGCAAACACTTACGGGACGGATTGCTGCACTGAGCTGTTTCATTTCCAAATAGTCAGATCGATGCAAACCATTTTTTGACACAATCCGGAGCCACGGTAGGCAGGTTTGAGGAGATGAACAATGCCTAGCGTTAACTGCTCTGAAAAAATATATGCAAAACCTTCCGGTACTGTCAGCTCCAGAATCAGGCGAAAAACTGTTTTTGTATCTCGGAGTGTCCAGCATCGCGACAAGTGGCGTTCTGGTCCGTTACGCAGAAGGGAAGCAATATCCAGTGTTCTATGTTAGTAAGACAATGACTGAGGCCGAAAGACGTTATTCAAAGGCAGAGCGGGTGATACTCTCGCTAGTGCATGCGAAAAGAAAGCTCAGGCATTATTTTGAATCCCATCCTATTATCGTTCTAACCACTTTCCCTATCAGAATAATCCTGCACAAACCGGATCTCTCTGAAAGAATGGCGAAGTGGGCTATAGAGTTAAGCTCATTTGATATCACATACGAACCTAGAACAGCAGTCAAAGGGCAGGCGATGGCAGATTTTTTATTAGAATGTGATTTAGAGGACGTGGAGAGTGCTTATGGAAACTCTTCGTTGAAGGATCCTCAAATCAGATGGGTGCAGGCATTGGGATCAAATTGCAGACGCTAGAAGGTACAGCCTTAAGCCAAGCGCTTCGGCTTGAATTCGCAGCCACGAACAATGAGGCAGAGTATGAAGCGTTGCTGGCAGGAATAAAGCTTGCCAAAGAACTTAAGGTCAGGAATTTGAATGTTTTTAGTGACTCACAGTTAGTCGTTCGGCAGGTGAGGGGTGAGTATGAAACCAAGGATGAAACGATGGAAGCATATCGTTCTGCTATTATGCGGGAGGCGAAGAACTTTGAAAAAATTAAATTCATTCAAATTCCAAGGGAGTATAACGAGGATGCCGACACGCTAGCATGTAGCGCCTCAGGTTCTGGAGAAACATTGGCAAGGGTGGTTCTAGTGGGAATATTACATCAGCCATCCATTTTCGAAGAACCTTCAGGCTCGGATCCTTGGCAAGTGAATGTTATTCCATATGAGCCAAGTTGGATTGATCCGATCATAACTTACATCCGAGATGGTACTCTGCCTGAACAAAGAAATGAGGCTAGGAAAATCAAAGCGAATGCTGCAAAGTACGCCGTAGTGCATAACCAATTATACAGAAGATCTTTTTCTGGACCGTACTTAAAGTGTGTTACCCCCACAGAGGCTCGGCAAATATTACGAGCTATTCATGAAGGCGTATGTGGAATCCACTCAGGGGGAAGATCATTAGCACACAAGGCAATGGCCCAAGGGTACTTCTGGCCAAACATGTCGCGAGATTCGAAAGAATTGTCCAGAAGGTGCGATAAGTGCCAAAGGTTCGGACCACTGATTCACCAACCGCCTGAAGACTTGCATGTAATGGCCACACCATGGCCTTTCGCATAATGGGGGATGGATGTAGTTGGTCTTCTACCAACTGCCAGAGCTCAGAACAAGTATGTGTTACTGGCTACAGACTATTTTACTAAGTGGGTGGAAGTAGAGTCATATCCGAACGTTACTCAAACTCATGTGAGACGATTCATTTGGACTAATATTATTTGCCGGTTTGGTGTTCCGAGGTCAATCGTCATGGATAATGGTACCAACCTTGACAGTAAGCAAGTAAGAGAGCTGTTGGAGGAATATGGAATTAATCAAAAGCTGGCAGCAGTAAGTCACCCACAGGCCAATGGACAAGCAGAAATTACAAACAGAACAATCTTTACTTGTATCAAGAAGAAACTAGAAGAAAGGAAAGGAAGGTGGTTAGATGAACTGTCGAACGTCTTATGGGCTTACAGAACGACCCCTAGATGACCGACCGGAGAAAGCCCATTCACCATGGCGTATGGAACCGAGGCAGTTATACCAGTCGAGCACTTAATTCCGACTGTTCGAAGCTTGGCATGGAACCGTGAGCATAATGACAGTATACTAAGGTTTAACCTCGATTTTTTGGAAGAAAAAAGAGACGCAGCAGCGGTAAGGCTCGCATCTTACCAGCAGACGCTTGCGAACAACCATAATAGGAAAGTAAAGCACAGAGACTTTAGGCCAGGTGACCTGGTTCTGAAAAAGAAGATAGGGATAGTCAAAAAGATGATGCCACCATGGGAAGGCCCATACAGAATTGCAGAGGCCATAGGAAAAGGCGCATATACCTTAGAAACCATAGCCGGAAGGCTGGTTAACAAGCCTTGGAATGCTACTTCTCTAAAGAGGTATTATCAATAAAAAGTTAAGATTCAGTACTGAATTTTGTTTATTTTAAATTGAAAACAGTTGAATGTATGAGTTTCTGAGATTTATAAGGATTGCACTCCTCTCTAAAATCCTAAGCAAATAAGTGGCAGCTGGCACTATGAGCCGAACGCCAAACACTTGCTAAGAAAAATAAAAGGCCAAGTGGCAAGTGGCATTCTAGCTAAGCGCCAGGCACCTATGCAAATAAGTGGCAGCTGGCACTATGAGCCGAACGCCAAACACTTGCTAAGAAAAATAGAGGGCCAAGTGGCAAGTGGCATTCTAGCCTAGCGCCAGGCACCTATGCAAAGTAAGTGGCAGCTGGCACTATGAGCCGAACGCCAAACACTTGCTAAAGAAAATTAGAGGGCCGAGTGACAAGAGGCATTCTAGCCGAGCGCCAGGCACATATGCAAAGTAAGTGGCAGCTGGCACTATGAGCCGAACGCCAAACACTTGCCCAAAAAAAAAGAAAAAAAAGAAGGAAGTTGACACAAAAAGTTTAATTAGAAGTCAGCCATCTCATTAATGAGGTTCAGAGCGTTACAAAAAATGAGGTGTAAAGATGGCAAATATACCAAAGTCAGTACATTAAAAAAAAAAAAAAAAAAAAAGAAGTTCTAACTAAGAGGCGTTTGCTTCGTCGGCCTCTTGATGATGTTGTGCTACCTCCTCATTGTTGGTGGTGTCGCCATCCTCACGAGGTGGAGAGTCGAGGTGAATGACAGAATCGTTCTGTTGAGTCCTGCCCTCAATAGCGTTGGAAGAATCATTCTGCTGGGGGTTATCTTCAGCAGTAACGGCAGATGGAGTCAAAGTGGACAGAGGAAGAATGTCCAGAGTCAGAGCGGCAGGAGGAGTAGGAGTGATCCGAGAAGACGCAATCTCCTGACATTCATCAAATATGCCTTCAGCAGCAGTAGAGTCTGGATCGGTATAAACACCAGGAGGATCAATATCCAGGTCCTTATTAACATCATCAGGGGTAGAGCCAGTCTGACCCTCATCCGGGATGCGATCGGCGTAACCCTCTCGGAACCCCTGAGCATATCTGAGGGCTCCAACTCTGGAGAATCGAGCATACAGAGCCAGCATACCACCATTTACCCTGCTAATGGTATCAAGTAAAGCGTTGCGCTCGTCTAAGGCCCTTTTCTCAAAGGCCATCCGAGCGGATTGCTCATCATCATCATTCAGAAGGCGCAGCAGTTCTTCCTTCTCGGCCCTGAGGGATTCCCGCTCGGTCTGCCAGACGCTCTTTTCAAGCTGCAGAGCATTCCTCTCATCCTGGAGAGAGTCAGTCTCCTTTCTCAGCAAATCCCTCTCTTTTTCAGTTTTACCAAGTTGAACCATCAACCCGGTCTTCTGAGCAGCTAAATTATCGTTCTCCTTGTTCGCTGCGTTAAGGTTGTCAGAAAGCACGCGGACCTTGGCATTCACCTGCTCAACTTGCTTCTGCATAGCTATCATCCAGTACAAGGTCTGCAGAGATATACAGGACAACTGGTTAAGCCGAGCAGATGGTTAGAAGAAAATAAGTGTCAAGAGTATGTAAAGATTTATTGACTAAGGGGTAGAAGTTACCTCCATGGCGGACAAGGGGAATCGGCTGAACACCTCCCTCTGAGACAGACCTTTGGCTACCTCGATGTCCTTGGGAGTCCACATACTCTTGTAGTAAGCCATTGCGGTCTGACCATCTTTAAACATGGTCTCAGTCGGTTTCACAGACGATCCGTCTGTTCGAATGAAACGAGGGCTCCATGGCGCCGTTCCAAAAGCGGAGGCATGCCCAGAAGGGGTGGGGGGCCTAGCTTGGGGAAGTCTCGCCAGGGATATCACGTTCGGCCCAGAGGGCCTAACCCTCTGAGACAAGGGAATGTCATCTATGCTGAGGGCACTGTCAGGTTGATGCCTCTTTCCTCTGGCCTTTTCCCGTGCGGAAGCAGCAGTAGAACCAGGAGGATTGTTGACAGAGGGGGCAACGTTCGGACTGGCAGTCGCCGTGTTGGCGACCGGGTCAGCAGCCGTCACGAATGGATCGGTGGAAGGAGTGGTATCAGAAAGGGTAGCGGAAGAAGATGCTGAAGCCGGTGAGGAATTTGATGCAGGTGTGATAACAGGCCTGGGGGCAGTTTTCTTCCTGCCGAAGGAAGGGATCTGGAGTTGGCTCATTGTCTTGCCGAGGACTGAGATATCGAGGAGATTATCTGAGGTGAGAAGGTCCGAGCAAGAGGGAATGTTGGTCAGAACGTACCGCTTCAAGTAGTTATCCCTATCCCTGCACACACTGTAGCTCAAGTCATCACAAGGAATGCCTAAGGAATGGCACAAGAAAGAACAAAAACGAGGAATGCAAATCTCGCAAGGACAGTCACTCTTATGGTTTTTATATTTCTTGTAAAAAGAGACAGAGCACTCTCCGAAAGCGCTCGGGATAGGAAAATCCTCCGCAACTGAAGAGAACCAGGCTCCCCTAACCCCAATAATGTTTTTCCTCCAACCCTTCTCGGATTTGATCTTATCCATGCAGATAGACCTCTTCTCAATGGGGAAAAAGTGGTAAAACGGTTCGTCAGTTCTGATCTTGCTGACCTTGTAACAGAGGAGGAGATCTATGAGGTCTAGATCCAGACCTCTGTCACGAATCAGGAGTAGCATAATGGATAAAATCCTAAGGAAATTGGGGTTTACTTGTAAAGGGGAAAGATTTAGCTTGTTAAAAACATAGCAAAAGAAAGGATGTAAAGGAAATCTAAGGAGATTGAGGTGGAGGAGTGAAAACAGGGCCTCGCCGAGAAGAAGGCCAGCACCGGTTCTAATATTCACTTCCCGGGGGCAGTTTCTAATTTCTACATCGTCAGGAAGGTGAAGTTTCATGCGAAGAACGTCTAGATCTACTGTCATGGTGAGAGTGGATGATGATTCCGGGGAGAAGAAAGAAGTCTTCCAAAAGAAAAATGCAAATGAAACTAACCTTAGAGAGTGGAAACGGCAGAGAGTATTGCAAAGCCACTGGAAGGAAGATCTTTCGCAAGAGATCGCCGGAGAGGATTCAAGCAGCAAAAGGTGAGATGGAGACGGTAAAGAGGATCGATGGAGAATCAATGGAGCTTATAAAGACGAGATGAGCCCAAGGGCCGAGGAGTCAGGAAAGCGATGGGTTGTCTTTTTGAATCTCGAAGCGCCGACCCCTAGATCTAACCGTCCATTCTCCCACACGATCTCCTCGAGCCGTCAGGTCATCATTAGCAGCCTCTAATAATTACCCCCTAATCAATAAGGGGTAATTATGGGGGCAGTTGAGGATGCGGCAAGTGGCATAGGCCGGATATGGATCGCGGGAACGAGATCGGGTCGAATGATTGAAGTAGGATCCATGCCAAAGCACCCTGAAATGGGCCGAACCTGGGGGGTCCACCGACGAAGGTCAAGCCCATTGCAAGACCCAGCCCAGAAGGAAGAGAGCTTTCGGATATAAGCCCAATGTAATTGGTTAACTGCAATAAAGGTCATGGCCTATAAATAGACAATGACAGTAGGAGAGAGGGGAAAGAAATGAAATCTTGTATCTTCAGGTCCTTTACTCAACTTTAAAATCTTCAAATTTAACTTTTTGCAATTTGTTTTTTTTCTTTTTCTCTTTCTCATGAAGGATGAAGTAGTAATTTTATATCTTTTGTTAGTCTTCTAGAATTTACCATGAAATTGAAGACTAAAGGAAGTAAAATAAGTCAATTTAACTCCTTTTTTCTGATTCAATAAAATAAGTCAATAAATTAAAGTTCTTCGTGAATGGTCAAAATATCAAGATAGACAAAAACAAAAATGACATGTAATATTAAAAAATATTGCTTTACGTTATTTTAATCTTATTAATTTTAATGGAATCATCAAGTGAGCTCATATATATTCTTGACCGTTAAATCGATAATATGTAAAGAAGTATATTTTAATGAGTAGCTGAGAATGTAAATTTAAGATAACATAACACTCTTAATTAACTTATTGGTTTGTACGTGACTCTTTATTTTTATTATTATTATTTTTTAATTTTTGAGAAAGTATTCACTCTTAAATTCTAATAACATTTGGCTCATAATTTCTAATTGCATTTAAAAAAGAGTAATGTGGCAAAAGAAAGAAAAAAAAAAACCCACACATCAAACACACCAATCATTCAAATAAAACAAAACAACGAAAACCTATTAGAGATGTACGTGGTTTACTCAAAATCAAAATTACGTTTATAGAAAACAAGATTTTCACTAGATTATAAATCTATACAAAAATAAAAGAGGGATAATCACTTACAAAGAAAATATAATCTCACAAACTTTTTTTCCGCACAACGCCATCCTTTTACTTACAAAGAAAATATAATCTCACAAACTTTTTTTCCGCACAACGCCATCCTTTTACGTATAATAAAATAATTAAGGTTATCAGACCATTCACTATCTTTGGGTTATGTCAATTATTATTTTTCAATCGAGTCTACTTATGTTCGAATCCCTCTTCTACCTAATTTATAAAAAACAAAACGAGGATGCTCATATTCAAATCTCTGTACCTCTTAATTTACAAAAAAAAAATAAAAGAAAAATTATCTTCCAATTATTAATCCTCCCTATTGAATTTTAATGATGGTCCCGTATCTCTGCCTCCAATAGGGTGGGGCCCGAATACATCTTTCCTTAATACTGTCGTAGTACGAATCCATAATTATTCAAGTAGGTCCATTCTCAGGACCCAAGATCATGAGATTCTAATTGTTTGATAGAGAAGTACAATTGTTATCCCATTCATGCTCTACGATTTGTTTCACACACTAATAAATTTATATCAGATTCCATACTCACCATAAATTTTAATTTCACAATTCAGACACGTCTCCTTAAAAGATAATTGTACTTGTGTCTACCTGGTCCCAATTTTTTTTAAAAAATAAATTGATACAATCTATAAATTTTATATTATATAAATAATGATAATGCACACACACATGAACATAATATTGTGCATACATCTATAATACATATATACATCTATATATATAATTATTTATTTATTTATTAAATAAAGTATAAAGAGCATGGTGGACGGATGTTTTTAAAAATCCGTACCCGCGATGGCTTTAAAATCTAAATTTATACATGCCCTTATGGTAGATAAATAATTCTAGTACTCATAACATTAGGGGGCCCTCTGGCGCAGGCGAGATGGGTGAGGGTGATGGGGTATTTTTGTCCTTATAGGTTTTAAAATCAAATTGCCATCCCTAGTTTCACTTATTTTTTATTTTTTTTTTCTTTCAGTTTTGGACATTTTAAAATTGGAAGGTATATAAAACACACGTTTATGTGCCAGCAATGAATGAAAGGAAAATCAAAATTTTGACTGTTGGAAGAAAATCAAAATTTTGATATGCATTTTATAAGCACAAATTTATTTTAATTTTTTAGAAAAAGAATGTCATTTCATGGCTTGAATAACATGACATTACAAGAAAAAAATATATTTTTTCTACCTAAATCATCCTTACTTTTATTAATAGGATAACAAGTCTAAATAAATATCTTGAATAAATATTTTATATGTTTTAAACAAAAATAACAAAAAAATCTAAATAAATAATTATCTAGAAAAATTTAGAGAATGATTATTACCATTGTACACTCTTATAAAAATTGAAGTATAAACTTTTATTTTAGATGGTTGCGTTTTCATTTGGATTTAAACAAGTTTGGAATTATTATTTTATTAAATTAAATTATATTATTTTATTGTATTATAATATATATATATATATATTATTATACAATAAAATAATATATATATATATATATATATATATATACATTTTAATTATTGAAATAATATTCCTGCATTAACATATAAATAAAGGTGAAATACGTAACACCGGCCGTTTCTCATTTCTGGTCTACTTTTCATTCTGATTTTTCTTGGAAGCTTCCTTTAACATGAGCTTTTCCATTTATAAATAATTTTAAGTTTTACTTTATTATTATTATTATTATTATTATTATTTTTTTTTTTTTTTTTTTTGTTGTGAGGGGGTGATGAACCAATTGCATAATCATGTTTATCTGATAACAATTGGGTCAGACACTACTTTTGGGCTTTAGATGGAAAGTGACGCCACCGTCTTCGATTTCAATTCCACGCACTTGAGAGAGAGTTGAATCCACCGAGATACATGGCACATGTGTGGGAATTAGAGAAAATTGAATTTGATTTATGATTACTATAAAAAAAAGGGACCAATCCACACTTCCTATTTCTCATTCCCTCACTTTTTCCCTTCTCTCTTCCTTTCAAAACGCTATCACTCCTCCTACATTTTTCTCTACTCCTTCTCTCTCTAATATACAGACACCCTTTGCCTTACTCTCTCTCTCTCTACCCTTTTCTCTTATGGAAAACCACCACCACCACCACCTACCTCCTCCGGTGAAGTCAAGATTCAAGCGTATCTGCGTTTTCTGCGGTAGCAGCCCCGGCAGGAGCCCCAGCTACCAGCTTGCTGCTATACAACTCGGAAACGAACTGGTACTATATCTATATGTCTATATATATATATATTTGTATAGAATTCTGCTTCTAATAATTAAGAGACGAAGCTTTTCCTCTCCAATTTCTCGTGAACCCCACAAGCTTTTAGTTCAGAAAACTGTTTTTCTTAATAATAATATGTTAGCAGTATAACTCTGTTTTATATTTTTCGAGACCATTTTCAAAAAAATTGAATCAAATTAACGTTCCTTTTTAGCAAGTTTGTTAATGAAATTTTGGCTTTAAATTTCAGTAATAACAGCTTGGAATCAGATTAAATTAAGGGCCTCTGTTTTTTTTTTTTTTAACGGTGTATTATTGGGGATGGATGGGAATTTTGGGTATGATTAATTGGTGTAATATATGGAATATTGTAAAATTGAGGGAGTGTTTGGTTGAATTTAAAATTTGGTGTCAAAAATTTTAAATTCTAAGAAAAAGAATAAAAATGGCAGGTTGAAAGGAACATTGATCTAGTTTATGGAGGAGGCAGCGTTGGCTTGATGGGTCTTGTTTCCCAAGCTGTCTATGATGGTGGCCGCCACGTGTTAGGGTACCACCCACTTGCAATCTCTCTCTCTCTCTCTCTATATATATATATTACTCCGTATTTATGATTTGTTGACTGATATATATATACATATATAATATACACCTCTTTTGTTTGCAGAGTCATTCCAAAAACTCTCATGCCAAGAGAGGTAAATTACATGAAATCTACTAATTTACAATAGTATTTCTACAATATTGTGTTGTTCTTACAATAATTATAATAATAATAATAATTATTATTATTATTATTATTATAAAAGAATAATAATTTATTGTTAATAATTCAGATAACTGGAGAGACTGTTGGTGAAGTAAGAGCAGTGTCTGGTATGCACCAAAGAAAGGCTGAAATGGCTCGCCAAGCTGATGCATTTATAGCACTTCCCGGTAATTCATCTTCATTAAACTAATTCTATTAAATTTATATTATAATAATTACATACCATAACTTTATAGTAGGACAATGTTAATTTTTCTGTTAAAAATATTATTTATTTTTAAAATATTTATTTAATGGTGGTAACTTTCAATCCCAGGTGGTTATGGAACATTGGAGGAACTCCTAGAAGTCATCACGTGGGCTCAGCTGGGAATCCATGATAAGCCGGTAACAATTATTTTATTTTATTTTTATTTTCTTTTTTTCTAATAATTTTAGTGTTCAATATAATTTAACTTATATTTATGTACGTAAATTCCATTGGACCAAGTGGCTATGAATCACAAATTATGAAGAAAATGTTGCTCGTTTTATTTTTCATTTTTCTTCTCTTTTCATTTAAATTAATGAATGGGGCGAAAAAAAAAATCATAAAATAATTCTTAGATTTCACATTAAAATGTGATTAGAGTCTAACGAAGGCTTAATCCGGTGGGTACATGATGATGTAGTGTTCTTCACATTCATTTTGACTAGTGTGTATGTACACGGATGACCCAGACCATTGAGGGGGCAATAATGATTTTTTAAATAATTTTAGCGATGGTAATAGTAATATTTTAAAGGTATATAACTGAAAATGAACAATTTAATAAGATATATTAGTAAAAAAATAAATCAAGGAGGACAATGGTAATATTTTAGAAGTATATAACTGAAAAGGAACAATTTAATACGGTATATTAGTAATAAAAAAAAGTTCAGGGGCCAATAATGTAGGTTCGTCTTGTGTATATATATATATATTTTCAGAGGGTGTCGTAATTACTAACCCCACAACCCATGCAACATTAAATTACGAATTTATGTAGTGTTTGGGATTCGAATTCACATTCATGAACAGGAACGGATCTATAAATTTATATGAGGCGGGGGACAAATTTATATAGAGACATTTTTTCATAATTTTAATGAGAGTAATTTTAAAATTTTATGGATATAAATGTAAAAATGCACAAATTTAAAAGTGTAAAATGTAATAACAAAAAAATATCAGCGGGTGACGGATGCCGCCACCGAGCCTACACTACATTCGTGCATGCTCGTCAATACAATTCATCTACAACTTAAAGGATCATCCTGCCAACCACCAATGCTACACGTACGGGGCAAGATATTTATATATATATATATATATTGTGATAGCATTATTGCATTTAATAGTAAAAAAGTTTGCACGATTCATTAGAAAGTAGAGTGGGTGGATTGTCAAAATTGGTTCATAAATTGGGTTTTTGTTTGGATGTAGGTGGGCTTGCTGAACGTTGACGGGTACTATAACTCGCTATTGTCTTTCATAGACAAAGCCGTTGATGAAGGTTTCATCACACCCTCTGCCCGTCACATTATTGTGTCTGCCCAAACTGCCCATGAACTCATGTGCAACCTTGAGGTACTAACTATACCATACTATTACATCACATCTGGACACGTGGCGCACATTTGATGGCTATAACGTAGACGATCTGAACCGTTCATTTTTATTTATTTATATTTATTTAGTGTGTGTAATGTGTGTGTAGGAATACGTTCCCAAGCACTCTGGTGTGGCGTCGAAGCTGAGCTGGGAGATGGAGCAACAATTGGGGTACACCACAAAGTCAGACATTGCTCGTTGACTCCATCCAAATCTCTCTACTCGCTTCAGAGCATTGACGACTGGAGATTTTAGCAACTTTTAATCGACAGTACAGGCAACCACGTAGACATGAGCAACACACAATCTCTCTCACCCCACCACAGTTGTTTTATTTCGCTGTGGATCGTCATCATGTATTTTTTTTTTATATACTATATATATTGTTTTAGAAAAAAAAAACAAAAAAAAAAAAAATTCTAACCTGTGTAGTGGATTAAGGAGAGGAAATGACTTGTTAGTCCTCTATTGTGTCGGTAATTACTGTTCATGTATATTATTATATTATCTTTTTTGAATTCTGTTTTTATTTTATTTTATTTTGTTTTGTAATTAGGATATATTGATGTTATTTTCATTTTATTTTTTCTTTCCTATTCGTTAAATTAACAAACATAAATATTTTAGACAAAGCCATCGGAGTTTCTCCCGAACCCCTTTGACAGCTATTGCTGATTCCTCAAATGATCAAAACTTGTACCATAATTCGAAACATATAAATAAATCCCCAATTGATTGCTACTTCCCAAACCGAAGATCAGTGAATATTAGTAACACTTAATAAAAAACAAAGAAGAATATTCAGAGAGAACTTGGAGGCGAATTGCTTGATTTTATTGGGGACTTATGCTGTAGAGTACAGTTTCTTTTATTCTTGTTGCTCAAGTTAATTCTATTACATTTTATTTTATTCTTGTTGCTCAAGTTAATTATATTGCCTACATTGTTTTCATTATACTAGGTGTGCAGGAATGAGATGAAATGGAATGAAATACCCGTTATAACCATTCATTTGTTTGGTATGCAGGAATGAGATGAAATGGAATGAAATACCCGTTATAACCATTCATTTGTTTGGTATGCAATTTAAAGTGGGAATAAGCATTTCATTCGAATGAAAATCTATTCATGAGAATAAAAATCCATTCCATAATTAAACCAATGGAACGATCATTCCATTCCCAAGTAATGTTTTTTAAAAAAATCAAGTTCTCAAAACCCTTCATGCTCCAAGTCCAAAAACCACCACCACCTTCCACCACAATCATTGTTGACTTTCACTATCACCACCACCTCCATTGCTTTCCACCACCGTCACTGCCACCGCCACATTGTTTCTACCTTCAACCACCACACCGCCGCCACCTCCACTGTCTTTATGTGACAGCTCAGATTCACAGAACCCAGTGCGTCACCGAGTAATCCGAAAACTGACCCGATAACGGATCTTAAATGCGGAAGCAAGAAAAGAGAAGAGGTCTCTAGAAATAAATACCATCTCTAAGATGTTAAGTGACCTTCTAAGAAGTCACGAGACTCAAAAAGGAAACGAAAGCAGAAGCTAAGGCTGAAACAAACTGAAAACAAAGACAGGGGTAAAATGGTCATTTTACTCTAAGAGAAGGAAATTTGTCTCTCAACAAGTCAAATGAAATCAAAAGTATCTAATAAGATTCTTTGGTAACCTCATATGAAGTCCTAAGATCATTGGAAGTGAAATCCCACAGAAACCCTAACTCGGTTCGAACGAATCCCGACACTATTTCACTAAAATGGTCATATCTCTCAATAGGAAATGAATATGAAGATAATATTGGCACCATTGAAAAGATGACTCAAAATTCTTGAATTTAGACTCAAGAATCACCTAATTTGGACTTGAAATGAGTAAGTTATGGCTGTTACAAAATCAGGTGTCAAAGCTTTCAAAACTGCAGGAATTCGTTGCATTGCGGGCGGATGCCAATTCCTGTGGACGCTTGCCAAAAGGCTGAGTTGCTGCCCAAGGAATGGAAATGGAACTTCAGGAAGGTTTCCTAAGACCTAAATTGAAAATGCAATGCTCAAACATGCCCTATAAACCCCCGGAAGTCCTGGAACGGTCGGCACGGTTCTCCCAAAAAAATGGATGAATAGTGACTTATAACATCAAAATGAACATTTAAAACAAAGTGAGCTAGTTTGCATACATTGAAGCATTGGCCCATGGCCTCATACACACAAGTTAAAACAACATCAAATAAGACACTTAAGTTAATATTACATGCCCAAAATGAAGCAAATCATGCTTCTCAACAAGTTATAGATTGAACACAAAAAAAAAAAAAAAAAAAAAAAAAAAAAGTAAATAAAAGCATGCTAACAAGTGCATGTCAAATCATACAAAATTAACCAAATAAGCCTAAGCCAAGCTAGGTAAGGTGAGCATCCAAAGAAGTGTCTTCTTGCCTGAAAAAGACCTAAATCAACTAGGGTGAGTAAACGAGTTACTCAGTAGGATGAAGCACATGCGTATACCCTAAAGTTTTAATGATTCTTTGCAAGTATAATATAAACCGATACACGTGGATCATGCTCCCTAACGTCTAATTTAGTGTGGAGCTAAGGGATCATCCTAAAGCTATCTTTGAAACAATTTAAACACAATCCACGATAGGCAAGGATCATAAACAATAATGGTGTTTTCAATATCAACAAGCTATAATTCAAGTAATGCCCACTTGAAACGAAATGCAGAATCAAAGAATACAACGATATTGAGATAATAACTACTACAAAGCTAGAAGAATAACAAAGTGTACACCACTCCATGAACTACAAAACAACTTGCACATAGACTCCACTATGATGCAACTCACACATGCGACTTTATGATGCAATGTAATGCATGCCAATATCGTACATAATGATAACAACGGGGCACTTCCACACCCCACTGGCCAAGTGTATTATGGGACTTCCAACCTATTAGACTCGATGTCTACTTTTTTAATGTTCGGATGGTGTTCATCCTTCAATCATGTTATGTATGTCGTACACACACAAGCTATACTCAAATGCATTTTATGAACCAAATAATGACCACCATGCTCCTAAGGCCAAGGTGGCATACACACAAACTATGATTTACTCACAAGTAAACATATAAAAGATTTCACAATACTAAACAATGTAAACTAATCAATAGTTACACAATTAAGTCATAAAAACTGCAATGGCAATTACATGAACAAGTTTATAAGATGAATCAAATTAAAGTACTACTACATAATCAACTTATGAAATCTATTCATGCTAGTATACTATAAGCTTAAAGTCCATGGTTTAAACAACAACATAGTATCAATACACAATTAAATCATTGACAAAAATAATCTAGAATTTCTATAAATCACACAAATGAAAATCTCTAGATTTTAAAAATTACAATATGAAACAATAGCAACACAAGTTAAATATTATGTAAAAGCCTTAAACAAAACAAAGCCCTAAGTTAATTTCATGTAATAAACATCTAGATATAACCCTATAATTCAAAATATATGCATACAATGTATATCAACTCCAAGGAACAAAAGATACAACAAGAGTATAAATATAGGACAACCCCTACCTTACTAGAGGTTTGTTCCACTAGAATCCAAGGCAAACGAAGTCAAATTGAAAAACTGAGCAAAGGTGTTCTAGATAAAGAAGGGAGGAAACTTTTGTCTTCAAGGTGGAAGACCAAAATCCTAAGGGAAGGAGGTCGAATTTAAAAAATGGAAACTAAGGTTTCACATTTTCTCAAATTGCTTCACTAGAGAACTGTCCCTCTAAAATCCAAGGCAAACAAGGGCAAATGGAGAAACTGAAAAAAGGTATTCTAGATATGGAATAGAGGAAGATTTTATCTTTAAAGTGGAAGACCAAATTCCTCAAGGAAGGGGTTCGAATTCTGAAAATTGTGGCTAGGGTTTCAAGGTGCTTCAATGGTGGCTAAGTGTGGAAGACAAGTTTTACAACTTTTCCCACTAACTCAAACCCCTTTGTTGGCCAAACACACGCACACCAACACCACCACTCTCTCTCTCACACACACATCCACCCTTCACTTGTCACCTATCTAGGCTTCCTCACAAGGATTAATCACAAGCCTACACTTGTCACCAATCTAAGCTAACAAGTGTACCAATGGTTAGTCAACATGTTGCCCAATGAATGAGTGACACTTGTCACTCATTTCCCTATTTACAACTTAGTCCCTCTTCTAAATATTCCAAGGAATAATTGCATATAAGTCCCTAAAGCAAAATATCTCAAAAACACCCCGAAAACGAAAAATGTTTCCGAAAAAACTATGCATCCATACCCCCAGAAAATAAAATAAAACGAGCATACTTTTTCACGAAATTAAATCATGCACGGATTGTAAATGATAATATAACGCAATGTACGTGGTGCCGAAAATCGTTTTCGAGCACCAAAGCGTACCTCGGGCTCAACGAAACCCTAAGGCAATGCAGAAAAAGAATAAATCAAATAAATAAATATCTAATTAAATAATTAGGTAACAAAAAAAATGAATGCCGAAAAAAAGAACAAAGATGACACGGTCATCACACTTTAGCCACTGCTACTGCCACTTCTACCGTGGCCACTGCCATCACCGCCTTCCACCATTACCACCTTCAACCACCGCCATTGCTTTCCACCACCGTCATTGCCACCACCATCACCATTGCCGCTGCCTTCCACCACCATCACACCGCCGCTACCTCAACTACCTTCCATCGCCACCTCCACCACTACTGCCACCTTCACCACTACTGCAACCGACTTCCATCACCATCGCCGTTGCCAAATCCACCTCCACCTCCACCTCCACTACCATTGACTTCCATCACCACCACCACTGTCGCCGCCACCTCCACTACCATTGACTTCCATCACCACCACCACTGTCGCCGCCACCTCCACATCCACTTCCACTACACCGAATTCCATCACAACCACCACTGCTGCCATCACCTCCACCTCCACCTCCACAACCATCGCCACTGACTTCCATCACCACCACCATCGCTACCTCCACCTCCACTATCATCTTCCACCACCACCAACACTACCACCACCACCACCTACACTACTGTCTTCTTCCATTGCCACCGCCACTACCTTCCACCATCATCACCTACACCACTAACGTCTTCGATCATTACCGCCACCGCTTTCTACCAACACCTTGCTGCCTTCTGCCACCTCCACTGTCACCTTCCAACACCACCACCTACACCACTATAGCTTTCCACCTCCACCACCATCAACCATCGCCGCCATTTCTTATTAAAAAATTATAGAAGAATGTTATTTTGTCAATTTAAATTATTTGTCACTTATAAGGATATCTTAGATAATTCAATTTGAAATTCATTCTTTTCTAAATTTTACATCAGTTAATTTCTACAGATTTCATATTTGCAATCAAACAATAGAATGAGAATGAGCATTTCATTCCATTCTCGTTCTATTCTTACTTACATTTCATTCAATTCTCATTCTATTCTCACTTGTATTTCATTCAATTCCTGCACACTAAACGCATTAAGGATATTGTTTTCTTATCACACATATTGATCCTCCATGTGGGTCAAGGAATGCGCGTGAGCCTGCTGGAACCTATTGGGCTTGTTTCATTGGACCCCTTCAGGCCATCTTTCCGCCGGGTTGGTTATGTTTCAACTGCTGGACATGGGTTTTCGGTATACACAAGCCATCTAATGATTGGAGAGAAATTTTTCTCCTCCACGCTTTGATGGCTTTCAGCACTCGAGACCGTTTGGCACAATGTTAAAACATTAAGGGTGTTTTAAGTACAAATTTTAAAATTGGAGCGCAAAGTGCTAAGAGAAGTATACTATAAAAGTATTTACTGCACATCCCCTAATTTATTTACTTACCAACAAAACCTAATTTTCTTTAATTATACAGCAATTGGAAACATCTCTTCTAGAGGAGATTCTACCAGTTTTTAGAACGTCTAGGGCCAAATTCATTGAATGACCAAAGTTGTTGGCCAGTCCGTACCACAGATTATGTAATATACTTTAGTACCTACAAAATAGGTACCCATTTTGCTTTTTAGTTGTTTGTGTTAGTGGACCTTTTCGGGGATGTGCTTTCTGATTTTGGATCGACATCAAGTTTCATATTGTTACATTGGCTGCGTTGTTCCACTCTATTTGTGTTATTGTTCAGAACATGTGTCCGTACTATTATTGACGATGGTCATAATCGTATCCTCAAAAATTAAACCTTTTCTTAAATTTTCTCTCTAGTCCATTTTGTTACACGAAAGTTTCAGCACAATGCATATACCTATTTATCCTATAAAAGTGTATTTTATTTGTATTTTTTATATACACCTTTTTACAATCATAATATATACTAGATTTTAATATTTTATAAGCATAGTTTCAGTTTTAAGTTGTTGTTTAAAACCTTACAATTGTTAATTTTATTTGTATTTTTTATATACAATTTTTGGTAATAATAATAATATATACTCAATTTAAATATTTTATAAGTGTCGTTTCAGTTTTAAGTTGTTTGTTTGAAAATTGAAAGTTCACGACTATAGAACTTTGCTGGTTAGAACTTATATAATGTCAATTTTATATTTATATTTTTCAAAAATCTGTATATATCTTATATAAATGATGTCTAAGTTGAACTCATGCTGCAAACTATATCTTCCTTTCTACTTGTCTATGTAAAAATATCTTGTCTCTTTTTTTCTAATGTTCAAACTACAACTTTGAAACATGAGAGTAATAATTTGGTTCATGTGCATCAGCCTTATTTTTTGGAAGGTATGTTTCTTGCAATGTTTTTAATAAAGAAATTTGTTTCTCTTGTGTTACTAGAATTTTATGTTATGAGTTTCAGATAATTTTTGATAATACACAATATATATTAGCATTATCCATTTTAAGAAAATAGATAACACTATTGAGTCACAAATGAAGATGAGTTTCTTTAATTTTTTATTATTTCTTACTTTTATTGCACATAAAATTCATATGGCAGTTTTTTTTATTTCTTTTTAAAATTTTAAAGTGCTCACATTGTAGAAGGAGACGCAATATTAGAGCATGAGAACTTTAAAGTATTAAAACAAAGAAACAATTGTGTAATGTTTATTGTTCTACTATTTTTATAATTTTTTAGTTATTTTATATTGTAAATCCTATGAGAATAAATTATAAATCTTATATGAATTATTAATTTTATATTTTCATTTGCATTTGCATTTTAAAATTCGTTCTTTTCTGTTTCGAAAGTGAATGATGAATCTTTTTTCTCTCATTACCAATCTTAATGATCAGTACCAATGTTGCATAAATTTTTAATATTCATACACATTTAAACTATTATTTTTTTTTATATTTATAAATCTATAGCTTTATTGGATTTATAAAATTTATATACATTTTAAAGTAGATCTTTAAATTTAAAAATTATTTATTTGTATTTTTATGTTTTAAGAGTTACCTTTTTTAAATTAGGTTATTGGTGGTCTATTACAACTACTAACTAACTATTATTTAAGAGTTGTGTCTTTTTAGATTTCTTTCTAATAGTTATCAATCAATCATTCTTTCAGAATTAATATGATTATTTAGAATTTAAAGCAGTTATTTTAATAAATAATTGTTTTGTGACTTTTCATGTTTTAAGAGTCACCAATAGTTTGGGTAGTAATTGCTATAAGAGTTATGTGTTTTCAAATATCAAGAGTTGTGTGCTTTCAAATATCTTAATATTGAAGGGTGGTGACTTTTAAAAATTTATTCCTAATTAGTATTTAAGTACAATTGTTATTCTTATTTCTTAATAGTTTGATACTAACGAACTAGTTAAGAGTTGTGCATTCAAAACACCAAATTTGTTACTATTGAGGAGTTTTGCTTTTATAAATATCTTTTTAATTAATATTTAATCAAATCATTCGTTCCCATATCTCTTAATACAATCTACTATAGTCCTTGAAACCTAGGCAATTGGGTGCAAAATTAATCAACCTCTCTCCAAGTTTGGTTTTTTTTTTTTTTTTTTAATTTTTATTTCCTTTTCTAAAGATAAGTATTAAAAGGATTTTATAAATTTGTAAATTTGACCCACTTATAAATTATATATTTTAAAGAATGGCTTATTATTGTGATATGTTATTTAATCAAAATTTAAAATTTTTTTTTTAGTTCATCATCAAATCTTTATGTTATTATTAGTCCACTAGAACTCAACTTGCAAATCCTCATTGGTTAGGAAAAACATCTCCACTTTAGGTATCACTCTTTATTGCAATTTTCCTTTGCTTGTTCGGTTGCAAATTAATAAATGGATTGTGTTGTTTTAGATGTGTGTAGCATTTTAACTCTTATTCTCCAAACCTTCATTTTTTTTTTTTCATTTTAATTTCTTATTTTTAAGGAAAAATCTCTATATTTTTTTTTTCCCTCTGTCGCGTATCAACCATAACTCTCTATCTCTTCAAAGTTTCAATGTTTAATAATCTATATATAATATTTTTAAGAATCAAGTGGAGTAACATTGAGTTTGACCTTATAATCCAAATAGTTGTCCTTTTACTAGATTTTAATGTCTTTGCAATTTTATAAAGTTGATTCTAATATATATATATCATAATTTTTTTATTTTTGAAGGCAATTTTTTTACACTTTTCTTTGATATGTATAAGCAAACAAAAACAAACTTTCTTTTATCTCTTCAAAGTGATTTTTTTAAACTAAATTTTGAAGGTTGTTATGATTTCATAAATTTAATAATAATGTGATATATATATATATAATATTTCATAATGTTTACAAAATTTTATTTAATGCACGTAACTTTTTCTAGTATATATATTATATACTTTAAAAACTTGGCAAAAACTATTCTCTCTAGTGAAATAGTAGTTCTTGTCCCGCCCAATTCAAAATGTATATTACAAAAATGTTAGGACATTTGGCAATATCATTTTTTTGTAAGGTGCATTTCGAACTTGAGGAAACATGATTCACTGTTCACATGAAAGGATTTCCTTCCAAGTGGTAAAGGTCAGACAAAACTCAGTGCAAGAATTTAGTGGCTGAAAATTGTTCATTGGTTGGCATAGTTGCATCAAACAGTGACATATTGTATAACTAGTATGCAAGATTTCTTCTTTTCCAGAAACCTAAAATATACATCACGGAACGCATTTTAAAAAACTTTAAATTTTAGATTCATCTAAAATTGATAACCGTTAAAAGTACTTTTAGTGGTTACCAAACGCATCAATCTGAAGGCAAAACTTTAAAATAAAGCACTCTTAAGTAGTTGAGAAGCAATCCCAAACGGGAGCTAAGAAGTATAAAGAATAAGCATAAAATCAATAAAGAGCACACACTTACCTAATGAATTTAGAAATCAGAGAAAGAGGGAATTTTGACAAAATAAACATGGTCATAACCAAACCCTATGCTGTACAACCTCATTTCATTAATTGTTTTTCAGATTCTTCTTTGCATCACAACCACCATTACTAGATCACATTATTCACCATTTGCTAGATGTGAATATCTCCATGCATGAAACAATGATCAAAATGTTGTACCTTACATGATTTTACAACACACTACAAACATTCAGATTGTGAAGAGACTAAAAGCTTTTCCTACTTGCCAAACAACTGCCACATTACTGCTAGAAAAAGAATTATATTTCGAGGCTTACTTGAACAAAATAAAATACACCTATAAGCACAGTGGTACCATTTGAGTAGTTTTATCGTGTATAAGCACACTAGTTAACAGAATATCGAAGAGATGATATATGGATTGTGCATACAGCTACTAACCAAGGCTGCCTTAGGTGAAAGATTGAACCACTGAAGACTTGGTCACCAAACCGGAGAGAAGGCCAACAATCACAGCACTATTGTATGTGGTTGGCTCTCCTTGCATTGAATTATTCCGTGAATCAATATACGTCTCATTCTTGAACGGCCCCCCTACGAGTGCTCCGATTGCTACGTTGGGATTGGGGTCAGTTGAGTCAAGATACTTGAAACCATCAGAACAGCCAGGTTTTGCAGTAGCCGGGATTGAGGCTCCTCTATGGTGCACATACTTGGGGTACTTATCCCCATAACCCACAAGAAAACTCATCTTCATGGGATTGTCGCCCAAGACATAATCAGCCTATTAGAAAGGAGGGAAAAGAAAAGAAAAGAATAGAATGAAGTAAGAATACTTGATGGCTAATAATGCATCCCAAATCTAATGCGTCTCTGTGACCTTACAAGCATACCTGTGAAACGGCGAATTTCCGAATATCCGATGGTTTATAGGAATTTCCATCGCAGGATACCTTTGCAGTTCGAGATGTAAGCATATAGTCACTGTAAAGCAAAGCTAAAAAGGCAGAAGCCACTGGATGCTGCAAAGCATTCCATTCACTGACCCATATCAAACCACCTACACCAACAGAGTATGAAGTTAAGCGACGGAGATTTGAGAAGCATATATAGTGTTTCCTATGTTAATGTGTATGATCCAATCCACTAACTAAAACTGGCTTAGGAAATTAAATAATATAGTCTAGACATGTTTGATATCTTTAAGGTTATTCTTAACTCGAGGTCCATACTTCTAGACCGTAGAAGTTTCTCTGCTAGTCCAACATTTTCCCTTGTTCAACTTTTTTTAGCTATTTTGCCAACTCATAGATGGTACACTGTTTAAGAAGGAAATTAGAGATTATGAAAAGATGGTCCATTTGTGTGTTATGGGATATAAGGAAGCACATTCGATACAAAGATGATACTAGGATTAATTTGGTCAACCAATGGCATCAAATTCATAAATCCAAAACTTCCACACAAAAAAAAAAAATCATAGAATCAGGTGCTATCATATTCTTTTTCCTTTTATTAACTGTAATAATAAATAAAAAAAATTAACAAACGGTTAAAATTCTACGAATGAGAATACAATAAAACCATATGGTTACTGATACAGTTATGCATATTCATTCATATGCATTTTGGGGGCATAGACACACAAGATTCACTTGGGTCTCAATGACAACATAGGTAGGATGATCATACTGCCATGACTATAATTATCATCAGTTGATGAATATCATTTTTCTGCTGAATTCAGCAATGAGTCATAAAATATTATTATGCATGTGGGACATGTTAGTTTTGACTTAGAAATTAACTTCTTATGGTATCATCATCTAATGAAGGCCCAACCCCCAAAAGTGTCACATAATGTCTAATAATATTGAGGGCACTTTTTTTACTTTTTGACTTTAAATTACATGTGCACATGAATGTCTGTTGTGTGTTTTCAGTGAAAAGGGAGTTAAAAATGTAACATGATAAATTTCAATTAAAAATCCAACAAGGGAAAAATAGGTAGAGAAGCAGGAGAAAGAAAATATAAGAATTTTCATCAAAGACGAATGGCATTGTAAGAGAATATTACTATCTGTTCTGCTGGATGTGGCCGTTGGAGATTTTGGTAGGAGTCCACAGATGACAGCCTCGGCAGTTTTCCTGTAATTCTGAAGGTTTTCAGAGTCTGTATCTTTTGCCCCAAATAAGCTTAACCTGGACAACAAAACCTGCAAAAAGTTGAAAATTACTAACCCAACTAAGGATATAAGAGTTCTACTTTACACCGAGGGAAATACAAAAAACAAAAAACTATTATATCTCAATCTGAATCATGGTTCACAGTCGCTATTGCGGCCGCCGACGCAGTGTAATGAAAACCAGGCACATATAGGACTCGTGTAACAAAATCGGTTATCGCTAGGGGTGGCAATACTTGACATGACATGCCAACACGACTAAAACATGACACAAAATAAGTGGGTTTGGATTTGTCTTAATCATGTTCGGGTCACAATCGTGTCAACTTGAATTGACATGTTAATTAAACATATCGCGTTCATGTTTGACCTGCCAACCCGTTTATAACCCGATTAGGGCCGTTTAACTAAACGTTTCATGTTCGTGTTTGAAATGACCCTAATAGTATGAAAGTTTAATTAGATGTGTCTTGACATGTTGTGTCAGGTCTTTGCCCATTTAATAAACAGGTTACGTGAGTCTTGTCACTTTACATGTTTAACAATCGTGTTGACTTCGTGTCAAGGTTCCGAATAATAATTGTGTCATGCTCATGTCAAGTAGTCAACCATATAAAAGATGTCATGACACAACATGGGAACACAAATTGCCACTCCTAATTATAGCGGTCATGAATTTGTTTTTACCTTCTACTTGGGGCCCAAAATGCATTGATGCACAATTTTTTTTATAATAAATATGAATTTTTAATGAATTGTAGTGGTTTTTACTGAATTTTTGAACACCATTTATCAGAGGTAGTGACCTATTCATGAATGTTAAGTCATTGTGGTTATTAAAAAAGACTTAGTAATAACACATTTTACTAAATTAATGAATAAAAATATATTCAAGTATGAAATAAATTATAATTATTACCAAAACAGAAACAGATGAAAATTCATACCATACATCACATGTGAGAATTAAAAAACAGAAAATAAAAATTTATTCTGAAAACAAAAATAAAGTAATAAAAAAAAGGGTAAATTACATAGACCTCTCTTGAGGTTTGCCATAATTACACAGAACCCCCTATGGTTTTCAAAATTACTTTGACTTCCCCTAAAAAGCAAACCTAGTAACTGGATATGCTCTTTAGGTATTCATCTAACACATATCCTATACCCTTGCCTAGTGCCAAGTGTTTGACATAGGTACTTCACGTACTTTCGAAGAGACCATGTGGCATAGCATTGAATTTATTGGTTTCGTTGTATATAGACAACTATCATTATCAATTTACTCCCTTGATGCTACTTTAATCGTCTTACGGATGTTTCATTTATGTTTTTATCTATTCCTGTCTTACCATACATCCATATCAACATTCACTTTTGAACGGTTTCTAATACAATGTTACTTATAAAAATTAAAAAAAATTAAAAAAAAAAAAAAAAAAAATCCATATCAACATTTGCATTTTGACAAAACTCATTTTATGAATATTTTGCACACAATATGGCAAAAAGACTCCATTAACCCATCCGGCTTTAATTTAAGATTCATTAACTCCAAGTTCTCCCTTTTTTTATATAATCATGCCTATGTAACAAAAAGTTCACTTTTTAATATCTCTTAACCCTTCGTCACTATGTCTCCACTTGTATTTCTAGTTTTAATTTTTTCAAAACTTCTGCATTTAAAAACTTATCTCTAGACTTCTAATTAAGCATTTATCCATTACTATCATTTCATCAAAAACAATAATATCAACCTATAGAACACACCATGGAACTTTACCCTGAACAAATTTTGCTAGTCTATCAATAACTAAAGCAAAATGATATGTTTTTATTGTTGCTCCTTGATATAAGCCTACAATAATTGGAAATTTACTTATTTCTCTCCCAATTGTTCTAACAGTGACCATAATTTCAACATATATGTCCTTTCTATTATGTCAATTTGTCTCTAATTCCTTGTTTTTTTTATAAAAAAAAACCCTATTTATGCTTTGTCCCAATTTATAAAAACCACATGAAGAACGTTCTTCTTCTTTCTATATCCAATGTCTCCTTAGTAAGTAAGAATCTTCCATTGTTCATATCCTTGATTTTCTAACACTGTAATTTCACGTCTTAGTCACCTACGAATATATATTTATAAAAGTCACATCTTACTCCTGGAATCGCTCTCCCCCAGAATTACATTATATGAGTCATTAATTTTATAACACAATATTTTTTACAATTTTGAATATCTCCTTATTCTTTTATAGAGGTAGCTCAATACTATTGCATCAATCATCAAACATTCGTTTATTTATTGTTTTCTTATTGAACAATTTTACAAGTTGACATGCACCGTCAACACCTAAACACTTCCAAATCTCCATAGGGATGTTGTATGATCCTAAAGCACACTTTATGCTTATATACTCTATATAAACACCTTCTGGTTTAAAGAAACCAAGAGGCAATTAGATTACAAGCATTTTGAGTGCATTGTAACAATCCAATTGTTTCTTATTTTTGCATTATCATTATACATCTTAGATAGTGAGTGTATTTCGAGTGTTTAACTTTGATTTGAATAATCCAAGAGATACAAAGATTTTCAACACTGGAAGAATCTTCCACATAACTACATGGAATGGATGATACTACTAGTTATGGAAATCAAAGTGCTAAAAGAGCAGCGGGTTAATAGTAGTTTAGTTTTTGAATTTCTGTTAAAATTCATTAATCGGTTAGCAAGACCTATTCACCCCCTTAAGGTCTAAATTGGGCCATTCGCAGCCTCTGACTATCAGAACCTAAGGTTTACAATCCTTCTCCTTCGTTCCCAATACAAGCTTTACTAATATTTTCCTATCTCTTTTCATTAAAATTTCATTAAAGAGCACTCAAAAGGAGAGCACATCCCAAAACAACTGCACAAGGACCCACAAGGGCCCCCTATACTTTCAACATATCCACAAAATCTGCCACCTCGCAGATTTAAAATTCCAACCCTGAACCCCAAAAAGATAAAGAACTAAGAATAGAGAACTTAAGCATCCGTATAATAATAATGTCATTAGTATTATTATTATTATTTTTATTTTTATTTTTATTTTTTATTTTTTATTTTTTATTTTTATTTTTATTTTTTGATAAGTAAAATTCATTAAAAGGTGCTCAAGAGGGGAGCGCTCCCAAATGAACACAAAAGGCGCCCTCACCATTATTTAAATTGTTATAAACAATTATCCTACTCCATTTTTATGTCTAGCTTCTCTGATATAATAGAGTTTATATTATGTATACTAAATTCACTCTTTCTCCTACATGCTTAGTTTATTGCAGGCATGCTACATTAATCCCCCTTCTAATCATAGTTTCTACCCACTCAGTTCTTTAATTGTAGATATTCCTAAATTCCAAGTCTGTAACCAAGCCTACTTTATTGAACTAACTTTCTTATTAGCACTTGTCCTAAAAAATGCAAGAACCTTTGCCTGCTTTTATATGGGCTTCGAACAACCGTTTCAACTTGAACCACCATGACCAAAACGTCCAGAACCACAACCTTAGAACACCTCTGTACTTCCATTGTCAACCAACTTCTTCTCAAACAACAAAAAATTAATAATTATGAATGCTCTTCCTCTGATAAAGTCTGGTGCTTTTTGTGCTGTAAAAGCAACCATCAACAATGCTACCTACTTCTTTTTTTATAAATACACCATCAACATTGCTACCTTCATGATTACAGTCCACTGCCAAGCACCACCACCAAGTATCACCATCATCATCATCAATGTTTTCACTCTCTCTAGTTATTTATTTAACCTAGCACACCACCAGTTCACATCTCTTTGCCAGCATATTCTCCTCTCTCTCTCTCTCTCTCTCTCTCTCTGTGTATGTCTGTCCGTCTGTCTCTCCCTATATATATATTTGGAGCCTCTATCGAAACAATGCTACCTTCTTCTTTTTTTATAAATACACCATCAACATTGCTACCTTCATGATTACAGTCCACTGCCAAGCACCACCACCAAGTATCACCATCATCATCATCAATATTTTCACTCTCTCTAGTTATTTCTTTAACCTAGCACACCACCAGTTCACATCTCTTTGCCAGCATATTCTCCTCTCTCTCTCTCTCTCTCTCTCTCTCTCTCTCTCTCTGTATGTCTGTCCATCTGTCTCTCCCTATATATATATTTGGAGCCTCTATCGAAACACCAGTTACCCCCCAATTAGCCACCCACCAGCATTAACCGAACCCAACTAGAAATTTGCAGAGCAACCACGTGTCACCATCAACAGCATCACATCTTGCATTCTCTTATTTCTCTCTCTAATATAAGCCCGTCACCACCATGGTCCTCTTCAACATCACACCATCACCACCTTTATCATTTTCTCCTTCCTCATCTATTTTCCACCTGCTTTCTTTCTCTGTGATTCCTCTTCTTCCATTTTTTCTTCTTTAGTTAACCCAATTCATTGACAGCAAACCCAAATTCTGACACCAAGTCACCAACCCAAAACCAAATCCTTATCCCCTAACACTAATTCTCAGTCTAAATTACTTTATGTTAGAAATACAGACCATTCAAACTTTCTGGCATCTGCTACCTCTCTATAAGATTCCTTTCTTCTTCCCTCTTCTCTGCTCCAACATACCCAATTCACAAAGTCAACAACCCAAGACACAGTCCTAATCCCTTCCCATTAATTCTCTCTCCAAATTTTTTTTATAAGTTAATTCTCTCTCTAAATTGCTTCTGTTATAAATACAGACCAATCAAAGAATTGCAAGCATAAGCTGTCTCCACAACACCACAAACCCCATCATCTTTATTTTTGGCCTCGAATCCCTCAATTGTTCTGCTCATTTCAATTGCATCATCATTGTCTCCTTCTCAACCCTTCACCTGAATGAATCTATGGTTATGTTCTCCAGAACCATTCTCAAAATATCCAATCTCAATCCACAAAAATGTTTCCAAAATAAAAGTGAGAGCTAATTCTTTAAAGGGAAAAAGAGACGAAGGGAGCATTTGACTACATATTTGAAAGGGTTGGAATTTGTACCAGGAATGCTTTTGATAATGTGCTGAAGTAGATGTGGTAGGAATTGTCACAGCCAAAAACCCGCCAAAGACTCCTATATTCTTCAATTATAATTTCAAATGTTCTCCCTCGCATTTTCTTAATTTATGAAATTTATCATTGTTTAGCAAAAAATGGGCATATGGTGGAATATAAGCTTTGTAAAGGAGCTTCAATGGACCAGAACACTCACTCGCCTCGCATCTTAATATTAAGCAATTCCCTCTCATTCTTCTTCTTTCTTTCTATTTCTTCATTTTTCAACTCTTATTGATATTTTGCAAACAGGTAGAAGTCTCTACAGAATCATTTTGGTACTTTATGAAGCAGAAAATTGGCATTAAGTTGTTAACATGATGACAACACCTTTTCCATGAAGAACAATAATGGAGGTTGTATAGAAGGCGGTATCTGTTATATACCAGTAAACCAAAAGGGAAGGCAATGTAAATCCAGAGAACTCAACAGAGGTCCTAATAAATGTCAAAGACCAAGGGGAGATCAGCATAACTTACTCAATTTCAAGCTTTTCCTTCATGCCTAATAGTTATTAAAGCTTCCAGCATTAATTGTTGCGAGACATTCCTAACTGGAGTTGTAAATTTGTAAATCTAAAAGGGCTGACTGATGGCATAAAAAAATTTAGCTATCCCTGGCGTGAAGAATATGTATGACATTATCTGTCCATAGATCCTTAGTGGTAAACGCATCTAAGTTGACAAATTTCATTTACTAAACCTTCCTTAAACAACCATGATTCTGAAGGTCTACAGTTTAACCATAGGTTTTGCTTTAAGTGTCATATTTAATTGCATATAGCCATACATTTTATAAGTAATGTGGCTGAATGCAAGTTTATGAAAATAGTCTAATAGTCTAATAGTCTAGCACCTAAATATTATTAAGATTGGCATTGAAAATCCATCTTGTAAGGATATAAAATATACCTGAGTTCCTGCGAGCTTGTTATCCCATGAAAACCAGCTTGGACTTCCCCACTTAGCGAAGGATTTTCCATTGTCCCCCGTCACATAATTAAAATATGTTTTATCCCCTGTCGCATGATACAGCCAGCTAGCAGCCCACAAGAGCTCATCCCCATAATCTGTTGAGTTGTAATACTTTGAGACTTCGGGAATGCTTTCACTGTAAGAACCTCTATATTTGTCGGCAAAATTAAACAATTGTTGGGCATGCTTAAGAAGTGAACTTGAATATGTGGAGTCGATAGACTTGAACACGAGGGATGCCGATGCCATTGCTGCTGCGTACTCTGCTGCGACATCTGATCCTGGGGAAGAAGTATTCACCTGCGTCAGAGTCCTTGGTTCAGTCATGTCTTCTGGCCTATTCCAACATTTATGGTCTGCTTCGGCATCACCCACCTGCACCAGAATTAGAAATAATAGGAGAAGACACATTTAGAGGGCTTACAAAAAGTCCAACAAATAGGGTCTAAGCATCTTCTCACTATATAAACATACTTAATAGATATTCCACACCCTTCCATGTATTCTCAAAATATATATCGATCAGAATTCAGCATAAATAAACTTAATTAAACATTTCAAAACTTAGCACAAGTTTAACAATCAAGAAATGTGAGAAGAAAATGACATCTAAATGAACACACACTAGCGCAAATTCAAGCTCCTAAACATATCTCAACAGTTTACAGGAATTACATACTATTAGACAAACCTGAATGTAGAGCACATTCTCTGAAGGATGGGAATTAATAAGGTAGTCAGTAATCCACTTGAGAGAGCTTTGAGCGGGTTCCAACTGACTCACTACATCCATCTGATCCCCGTACTCGAGGATGGCCCATGACAGCACTGTGGCAGTGAAAGCCATTGGGAATCCAAACTTCATATGATCCCCAGCATCATACATTCCTTTTGAAAGATCCAACTTTGCTTCTTTTCCATCATCAAGACCAGAATCCCCTCTCCAAGATATCTTGTTATTTACCAACTTACCAGCTGCAAAACCATATAGATTTCCAACCCAAAATTAAAATCTCATTTTTTTTATTTAAAAAATAATAATAATAACAATAAGACTGCCCACTAAAATCCCAATTTAATTGACATAGCCTGATAGTCACTACATTTTTTTTTTTTCTCATTTCAAGTCGAAAAATAAAAACCATGTTCTCATTAAGCTCAACATTCCCTCCCAGATCAGTGAGTCATGCATTTTTCTTACATATCTTTAATAAGAAAAGCATTTAATGACCACAAATGCTCGCACAATGACACAGACTAAAGCAGTCCATTCAACAATAGTAATGTTCCAAGATAATTATGATCCAATAATTAATAAATAAATAAAAAGTGATAGGACACACAAATACAGCCAGAACAGCATACAGTTCCCAGAAATACTTAAAAGGGTCAGATCATAAGTGAACCAAATAGTCATACATATGGTTAAATTTGTATCAAATGGAAGAGAAAAAGAAAAATGGGAGAGAGGATGAGAAGATGTACATTTTTGTACATCGAAGAACTGCATAGAGATTTTGAGAGCGTCGGCGTATTTCTTTTCGGGAGAGCCAGGACGCCCCGGAACAGATTCAGGCCCAGAAGACTCATTTTTCTTTCTGACGGTGATTACAATCACAACCGCCACAATCGCCGCCACCACCAGAACAAGAAACCATCCACACCATCCCTTTGATCTCGAACGCTCACCCATTTGATTTCGTTAATGGGTCTATCAGAAATTGAGATCCAACTCGAAAATCAAGAACACCCAACACGCAAAATGTGATGAAATTCTACAAAAAGGAGTTCAATAAGCAAATATATGAAGATCTTAGAACACCATTAAACAACAATGCCAAGTGAAATATAGTAATTTTTTTATTTTTTTTTAAAGTTTAGTGTTTAGAGAAGAATGTGGGTAATGAAGGACTATTGAATGAGAATGGTAGAGATGCGATCTGGACCAATGTGGTGAGAATTGGCCCTCATTGAAAGAGAGAGATGGAAGCAGCAAATACAGAGGTATAGATACAGGTAGTATATGTGAAAATGGTTTGGCTTTGGACACAACAAGAACAAAGGTCACCGACAAACGGTAGGATTCTCCGCTTCACCTGAAATGACAGGAATGCCCCTATAATTTAGTAGTGTTAGCAAAGTGGTGTGTTGGTTTTTTCTATGATTGATTGATTTGCTGCTTAGAATGCGCGGGTTGACAGGTGGGAAAGTTGACTGCGTCAAAGTGGTCACCGCCGTTAATGCATTACTATTTTCTATTTAACTAAATTTTTTTTTATTTTTTTATTTACTCAGAAAATAAAAACATAAAAAAGTGAGTGAATGAGACTCTTTTAACCAGCCACCCACATCTGGTGAGCGACAGGGACCATTCGTCTGCAATCTGCTGCTCCTCCTACCAACAGCATCGTCCCATATTTTGGTTATGATAATGAAGAAGAAAAATTATGACAATTTTTGGCTATGATAAAAAAGGGAAAACGTGTTGGCTTTTGAATTGTTGGAATAAATAGCGGTGCTACAATGAAAACAACTTATATTATCACCTACCCGGACTTAGCAGTGATGTTAAGATGTTGACCTTGAGTAATTACTCGTTCAGGTTCGAGCTTACCCTCTGTTAGAATATCGATTCATTCGGAATTGTGACTATGAGGCTGGGTTGTAGTATTTCTAATTTGGTGCCTTAGGGTAGAGTCCGAAGGGTCTTGTCTTGGAGAGTTCTGAATTATCAAAAAATAAAAAAAAAAAACTTATATTATCACCTTTATATGTATTTAGGGTGGTTCGACCTCATGCGATTTAGACATTGCCTAAGCCCCCTCAATTGAAAGAGCATTTTTTTTATATTGTATTAGACTTTTTAAAATTTTTATTTTCTTTATCAATTAGGTCCTAAAATTATTGTTTCAATTTTTAAATATTTTTATTTTTTTTACATTATTAGATAATCAAGCCAATAAGAAAATCCCTAAAATTATTATTTTCTTGCTTTATTAGACTTCAAAAAAAAGAAAAAATTCCATAATAAAATTATTATTTTATTTTTCTAAGTTCCTAACATTTTTCTTTCCTTATATTATTAATTCCAACTAATTGTAACTACTTTCATACTATAAGGCCCTAAAATTATTACTTCACTGTATATTATTATTGTTGTTATTATTATTATTTACAATATATATCAGGTTAACAATATATTATAAACTTCTTTATTTTATTATATTATTATAGTCCTCGTAGCTAAAGAATTTGATTAATTCTAAAATTTTCATTTCACTTTCTATCAAAATTCACAATTCTTTCCTAATCTAATTTTTTTTTCCTCCTCCCCTTGTTCCACATTTCTATTGAATATAAATTTAACTAATAGTTAAGCCAAAATAATTAACTAATAATTGTGAAAAATAATTTTTAAATAATTTATAAATAACACAATGGTGAAAAAAATATATTATTCATTTAAATTTGTGTTGTCCTACTCTCAAACAGTTTCATTTAAATAATATTATTAATATATTAAGAGATTACTTTTATAATTTTTGTTTAAGGCCTCAAATTCTATTGAACCCTCACTGTATGTATTGACATGGATCCAAACGAATCTATTCATAGTTCAGTGGGACAATTGCCTCCATTGATTTTTTTTCTTCTTCTTACCATGTATCATTGATATTTTTATATATTTTGTAATATATACATTTAAAATTTTAGAATTGTCCTCATTGAAATTACAAAAAAATCCTACTATTGTCCCCCAAAACATTTTTAATATAGTTGTTATTAAAGACTGTCCCACTCACATGGTTTTTTGAGTCCCCATGGAACCCGAATCCTCTCGGGTCATTTTCATCATATTTACTTTGAAATTTAGCTACTTTCAATGATGAATTTTATTTGTTATAAATTTCACATATCAAAATTTTAAATGGTAAATTTTATTATTGTTATGGACACTATTCTTGTCTTTATAGTATATGAATGAAGTTATGCACATGACTTTCATATTTTCATTCGTAATATACCTCCTCTTAAATTTAAATTTTTGTTTTTTAAAATTATTTTTAATTATTTTTTCTCTTGTAAGTTTTGGTTGGTCATTTGCCTTCTAGGGAGAGAAATCTTGCTTTATTTATTTTTTAAATCAATGCAAGTCTTTGTTGAATGTCATACAACCTAAGTTTTCCTTTTTTTTTTATTTTTTTTTATTTATTATTATTTGTAGACATTACACCCAGGGACGCATTCAGAGTCCAGTGGGGGCAATTGCCCCTGCTGGAATTTTTTTTTTTTTTATATTATACTCCTGTAAAAAAAATTATTTTTAAATATATACCTATAAAAATTAACCATTGCCCCCACAATTTTATTAAGTTAATTAAGTTATTTTGTGACAATTTGATACAATTTTAATTAGCTTGATATTTTATAATTTATACATTTATTGAGTAATAGCCAAGATTCGAAATATAATGAGGTTTTGTCTGACATGTCTGTATCTTGAACGAATGAATTCAAAAAGTTTATTCTTTCTTAGAGTCTAATAAAGCCCCCTTATTCATAAAATTATAATTAATTAAGGCAACAAGAATAAATAATTATGTTTTAAAGTAGAAGCAATCCTACATTATTGTAGTAACATATGAAAGCATCTTTTGGCATGGTTTGTGCTTTTGCTTTTAGGGAGTCTAGGTCGAGAACACGTAACTTTTGATAGAAACATTTGAAATATTAAAATAATTAAAATAACTGTTTGGCCTTGGACTCTTTGGCAATTTTAAAGTAGTGAATTAGTCTTTCGTACCCTTTGTTTCTCCAACCATTCAATTAATCACCCAACCCATTAAACTTACAAATATAGTTGATTGGTGAAGTTTTTCTACACTACAATTGAAACATGTACTGGATCAAGGGATAACCAACAATTTGCGTGTTGTATAAATAAAAGGGGTTAACAAATCAGGCAGGATTGCAAAGTGGGGGTTAAAGAAGTCATTTTATTGCAAACTTTTCAGTGTAGCAATTTGATGCGTGATGTATGACGTGTGATTTGTAATTTCGTACTTTATTTATGCGCGTGTCCACAACACAATTTCATTTCACATGTACAAAACTCAATCTTCCCATATTGGTAAAAAATTAATCTGCGCGGATCAAATCTAGAGTGATGCAATTTGTAGAATTGTATAAATACATTGGTTATAATTTCTAAATAATTAAAAAATTATCTAAAATAATTAAGTATTACTAACCCCAATTACCTAGAAAATTAAACAAAACAAAATGAAAATCCTATACATCACTCCTACAAGAAGAAAAATAAATAAATAACAATTCAGAACTCATGATGTCATGTTATATCAAAATTGGTGTAGAAAAAATGGACAGTGTCATCAATTGGAAGAGAGAAGAGTGAACGGGAGAAATTTTACCTTGAGAAGATCGACGAAATAGGCGTAGTGGCCTCCACTTTATCAAGAGAAGTTGATAGCAACACTGGTTCCGATTGAAAGAAAACCCTAATGGCGGCAATAAAGCCTCCTCTAAGTTCTAACAGTGGCGGAGATCACAGAAGATGATTTATCACTCAAGCTACGAGATGCAGATAACGATCGGCAACCTACAGTTACACTCGAATAGTTAGGTCTTCAATCTTCTTCAATCTTCCATAGACTAATTTGTTTGTAGGCTTGTAGCTTTGGTTTGTTGGGTTGGGCCATTTATCATTTATGTTTTATTATTGAAGATGCAAGAAAAATGCTCTCAAATTAGAAAGAATAATACTGCACTTCAAATATTTTCCAACCCATTTTCCCTTTATTTTCAGTATATTTAGAGACTATTACAAATCTTCTTGAAGCTTCCTAACTAACTCCTTGCATTGGGTTGTTCTTATGGCCTCTTCTTGGTTATGGGCTCAATTTTTTAAATCTAAAATTGGGCTTCCAACATAATTTGTGATGACCCTGGATTTTTAAACCCAGTGCGTCCTGTGCTGACCCATTTATGGGTCCGAATGCGGAAGCAAAGTATCGGAAATATGACAAAAATAGTCCTAAGGTTAAAATGGTCATTTCTAAAAATATATAGATTCGGGCATTACCGAGTACACCGCTGGAAAGACAACAAAAAAATAATCAAGATGGACTCAAGAATCGCATGATTTGGAGTCCGGACGAAGGAGAAACGACAAAATAAAGAAAAACGAGTAATAAAGCTAAAAGGGTAAAATGGTAATTATCCAGAATGATCCAGGCGCAACTGAGCATACCGCTGGATAGACAATGAAAAATTAATCAATTTCAAAAAAAAATTTACTTGATTTGGAGTCCGGATGAGGGAGAAAGGTTAAAAACAAAATCGACGTCGTGGCGGCCCGACGAAGGCCATGACAGCTACAGTGCCGTCAACCCACTACTGCTACAACTGAAAGTAAATACGGGCATCTAAACGGACTTTTTTGGAAAAACTCAAAGAAGAAACCCCCCCTAAAATCAAGTTTTCTACCCGACTTCATGAGCGGAAACCAAAAAAATGCACTGTGAAATGTCTAAAATACCCTCAAGAAAATCAGGTCTAGAAGTTGAAAATCTTTTCAAGCTACTGCCCAAAGAAAGGAAATGGGGCTTCGGAAGGTTTTTAAATTGCCTAAATTAAAAATACAATCTTAAAATACACCCACAAGACCCCCGGAAGTTTCGGATCGGTCGTCACACTTTTCAAAAAAAAGTCGATGAATAGTACCAAGTACATTTGCACTAAAATCGGCAAAAAACCTGGCAGCAATGATTTTTCAGAAAAAAATAGATTTTTGAGGGCCAAGATGGCATTTTTTGGAAAAACGCAAAGAAGAAACCTCCCTCAAAATTGAGTTTTCTACGTGAATCGCAAGGAAAAATGAAAAAAACGCATTGTGAAATACCCAAAATGCCCCTAGAACAGAATAGGGTAAAACTCCCTAAAAATGCTACTTAGAGTTTTTGTTTCATCAAGGATGGTGTTGTTTGCCAAAGTGAGCATGCAAGCATATGTAATGTGTTGC